CTTATATTTTTACTTTACTGCCTATAGTTATTTTATACTCATTTTCTTATCGAATCCTGCCTATAACCTACTTTCAGGACCTGACCACCTGTCACATGCGACTCTACCGCCAGGTATGCCCTTCTTTAACCGTGTGTTATTGATTTCTTTACCCCATTCCTAACCAGACATTTTTAGTTTCAAGAAGAGTATACATTCCGGACCCTCTCTCTCCTCCCCAACAAGAAACCCGCTCATAATAGTCTCACCAAGACTATTTCTCAACATCATCTCCATGGCTTGGAGTCATTTACTCTGCATCTTTCTCCGACTGACCTGAACTGTGTGTTTCTTGTCACCGGGCCCTCACTCTAGCTTAGATCTGCCCTGCATTGAAAGGCCTCTTCCATCCCTTATTGACCGAGACTTGCGGAGTAATTTAACTGGATTCCAATTTTCCTTCGCAAGCGGGATGCTCTCCACCCATGGTGGTGAGTTATGCGTGTTCAAGTGGTGCATCGTATGAATCTTGTTAGGCTTTGCCGCCTTAGAGCCCCACTGATGGAATATTTAATCACAGAAATGAGTTGGCAGATATGATATACAGTGTGGTTAAGCTTTGCAGCGATCTTAGCAGCAATTGAGAAACAGATGAATTCGCCATTTGTCAGCACCGTGTTGACATCTTTGCATAACCTTCTGTTATTTATTTTGATTTTGTTTTACTTATTTATGAAGATTAAAGGTGCCTTCGATCAGCAGTTTCGTGGGCTACATATCATGATTATCTCTCAAAGACACCACTTTTTAAAAATCTTTTTATTAGCAACAAAGGGACTTTCTCAGAGACGGGGAAACTGTAAGAATCCCCTTTGAGGCTCCTTCACTGAGATTCTTAGGAACCCCGGTTCTAATTACATTAAATAAGTCGAGGCGTGCTACTGGGAACAGGTATTTGCAGATACTGTTCTTCTATTTAGGGCCTTCGGTGTTCTTTAAGCTCTAAGGTGGCATGGCCGTGGACACTGGCTAAAGTCCTTGAGAGCCATCTGGACTTTTTTATTGACTTATCAATCTTTTGTCTTGAGGATGGGCCTTAAGGAGTCTGAAGATGATGAGACGTATGAAAAAGAATCGATGCTGTTTAGTATAACAGGGAAACACCCACTTGTCTTCGGAGAAGATTTATATACGTTCATGGGATTAAGCTGATTTATCTGCTTCTGGAGACTGGGTTGGATAAGCATTTAAAGGGCTCTTCCAGGTATGAGGGTTCAGAAGAGCCACCCGCGCTGGAAGGCCTCCCTCGGCAGCTGTCTGAATGCCCCCCCGAATGTGTGTGCCAGGGAGACTGCATGTCATAATTTATCAAAGCAAATTAATACTGTTCGGCTAGTAATTAAAGATCCTCATTAAGAGGTGTGACTGCTCTCCCCACCCCCACCCTGCGTTAGCAATAAAAATGCACTCAGGGCTTCAGGAGGTTATACGGGAAAATCAATACCCTGCCATTTTATAATTAAAAGAGAAAATAAATGTTAGGGAAAAGTCCACTAAATTAGGAAAATTACCTTTAGGAGAGATTGAAAATATCGATTTTAATTTACCAAATATGTGAACTTTTCATGCCCTGTTCTGGGAGACAATTGGAAGCTGGGTTGTTAATTCTGCATAAGCTTCAGAAAATCGATAATTATACTATGGAATATTATGATATGTGTCATTAACATGAAATCTTATACAGAGAAATGACTAATAAGTCTGGCTTTCTTTCTCAGGCAGATGCAGGGCTGGCCCGCTAAATATCCCTGGCAAATCAATGATAGGGTCTTCAATTCAGCTTTGAGGCACATTTAAAATTGCAATAGAAACCCAGACTATTTTTATACTTGGGGAAATTTAAAATGCTCCCGAAATTCTTAGTCATGGATATTTAAATGGGTGGCATTAGTAATTATACCTGGTTATGGAAATGAATATATTCTATACCTATATCTTTACATATGCAGGGGTGAGTAAAAAGTAGGTTTACAGTTGTGAGTACATGAAACAGTTTATTCTTGTATTATAATATATTCATTATTGTATTATTTACTTGGATTACAACTAAACCTACTTTTGCCCGCCCCTGTGTGCATTCCATAGATGCAGGTGCCTGACACTTCAGATTTAAGGTAGCAGGAGTCACAGTGTTCATGGGTCTTCAAATATTCCAAAGGAATAGCTCTGGAGTGTGGAATTGGTAGCAATATTTCCCCATATTTTTGAATGTCACAAACTCTGTCTACCTACATGCACAAATATATAGGCAAAAAGGGGGAAACTTCTGATTAAGGAGATGCCAGGTATTGGCAACTCGAAACACAAATGTTCAGATTTCTCAGTATCTCTTACTTATCCATACCCCAATTTTTTAAGGTTCAAGTTTTTTGGAGCAAGTCATAGAAATAATTCTTTGATTGTCCAGTCTCCTTAACGCTTCGCCTGACATCAAGTGATAACAAGTCCGCATATGGTGGTGGTGGTGGGAATAATCCCAAATAATTATCCTCCTTCTCGTCTTTCATTTGACTGCTCTGGACATGGATCAGTAGTACAATCTGCTATCATAGGGCACAGTCAGTAAGAATGGCTTTTAATACCCATAATAAAGAAAGAAGCAGTATAACCTGGTTGTACAGAACCCAGCCTCTTGATTGAAAATTCTAGCGGGCTTCTCACCAGCTGGGACATCTTAGTCCCATCACACAAACTCCTCGAGCCTTAGTGCCCTCATTTGGAAAATTGCCATGAGGATTTAAATACATTAATTTAAGTACAGTGTTTATAACAGGGCCTGACACTAGAAACTACTTGGCCCATATTTACCCTTATGATAACATATTCTTTCTCTATCGCCCAATGATTTAACTTTGCAGGGTGGGCCCAGGGCTAATTTGAATCGCTGTTCTAATGTTCTAAAAGTTACACGATTAATTTATTCTTGCATACATAAGTTAGTCTGAATTGTTTCTTCTGTCTTAATGTCTCTTAAACAGCCGCAGATATACACACAGGTTTGACAAAGATATTTGGTGTTTTCCTGGTTGCCAGAGACAAAAATGACCAACTGCTTTTGCATGGGACCAGAGAAATGCACTCCTCTCTATTACAATGCACCCATATACCCTACCTCCTCACTGGGTGACACCTTGCTTCTTGTTTGTGACCCATAACTCTGGGGAGATAACATGCACACACACAGCACCAGCCACCTCTTTGCCCCAGCGACTCCGTTTCTCTGGGCAGCATCTGTGCAGGTGCAGAGAAGGTGCTGTCTGAAGGTCTCCTTGTACCTTAGGGCAATTTCATGTATTTGCAGTTTTGGACAAAGATGCACCCCAGCAATATCTGTGCCCCCCAAACAGACTGCCTTATCTTTGACCCCTAAAATTAACCTTCCCCAAATGGACATGCTGAGAACGGAAGGACTAGTCCTCTCATGAGATAAGAAGAGACTCTCTTAGTCTAGTGGTACATTCGCAATTCAGCAGCGTCAGCTCTCAGTTACCTTCCCCCTTATGGCAAAGAGGTAGAATGTTAACTTATTTATTCCTATTTACCCAGCGTTTATATGGTACCAGCCATGCGCCAAACACCCTTCATGTATTAACCCATGAAATCCTTATAAATACCTGTGTGTTTGTTACTATTATCATCCCCCATTTAACAGATGGAAACACTGAGGCACAGAGAGGTTAAGTAACTTGCCTAGTCACACAGCTGGCAAATCTGAGGGGCCAGAACTCAAACCTGGACTGTCTGGGTGCAGTGTCCACGTTGCTCTCTCTGCTGGGTTCCTGCGAGGATGTGGGCTCCACCACATGGTCATGGGACACCTTAGGGCTATGTCTCTCCTCCCCCCTAAGAGTCAGCACTGCTACCCACAGTCATAAAGTCCTTGTACTTAACCCAGGCTCGTGGTGAAATCCACACATGAAAAACAACTGAGGACGTTGCCTACCTAAAATCCAGAATGCATACGGGACCTTCCCAGATTTACCTTTTTAAAAAAATCAAGTTTGTTATTATGCCAAAGTAGCCGTCTAAGTCTCCTGTGCTCCCTGGTCATCCGCTGGGGTGGACGCTTAGCACCACGACAGTGACAGCGATAAGACACCGCAAAAGAGACAAAGCGGGGGGTGTGACTTACCGTCAGGAAATCACTAAGTGAGTGGACAGACCAATTGGTCATTGCTGTCGCCTTATTAAAAAGCAAGGGTCGCTTCAAAGCAAGACCTCTTTTCAGTATCCGTGGGGCAAATCCCCTCAGGCCCGGGGGTTAAAGGCAGCCTTGTTAAGGAGCAAGGACACAGCAGGGCAGAGGTGACAGGCCAAGCGGAGGGAAATCTCAGCCGCTGCTGCTCGGGGTGACTCTCTTTCCGAATCCAATGATCAAGTTTTCTAGCACCGTGGGTTTCCCAGCTGAGTGGTAGCTGGGGGGAGGCAGGGAAGGGGGAAGAGAGACACTGCCTTGGAGGCAAAGCAGAGAGGAACGGACTTGCCAAAGGAAACTGGTTGAAGGAGACAGAAGACAACTTAGTTCTTTCCAGTTTTCTAAATGGTCCTTCTCTGGGCAATCCCAAGGTGCTGCCACATTATTGGAATAACTTATCCAATTCTCTGCTTTGCCAAGGGGAAAAAATGCAACCCTGGATGGAAGCGTTTGGCGAAAGAACACATCCATTGAACTAAGTTTCGATGCTTTTTAAAGGCAAAGCCAATGGGAAATGTCATAAGGAGCAGTGGCTCCGTGCTTGCTCCGCAATGGAACAGACACGATCCCCCTTTATTTTTTTTAAAGGGTTTAAAACACTTTTGGTTTTGCAAAACAAAACAAAACAAAACAAAAAAGACAATCAGAATTTCTTAGGGTAAGGATTTACTTGGTTCAGATATTTTTATGAAGCCTATTCTTTATTGGCAGGCAAAGCACAGATAGAAAAGACCAAGAAGACATCGTGCAAAGAGAAACTGTTTACCTGCATAGAATTCGGGACTGTAGACTGCACCCACAACTGGATTCAATTTCCAGCCTTGAAACAAATACACAAAAACATTAATATCACCTTTAATTCAACAATGAAGTCCACTGCAAGTTAACCGCACATGTAACCGGTTGGTGTCTTTTTAAATTTTAAAATCCAGAGAATATACATAGTTTGGGCATGCATTAAAAATTATTTGAAAACTATACAGTGTATAGGGAAATAGATTGATTCCCTTCTTTGATTTTCTGCCTATACAAGTTAATAGTATGGGAACTACTGACCAGCCACAGGTGAACCTTTTGAAAATAGTGTGGTAATTAAATTTCTCCCATATCAATATTTTCTGGAGCCACTATAATAATTTCAATTCTTTTATTCTTTCATGGGTCACCACTAAATAATTCAATGCATGTCTCTGTGTGTTAAGTTCACAAAAATTTGAAAGCTCGCAAGAAGAGAATTCTTTGCAGCAACATATTCTGATAATTGTCATTCCTAATTATGACCCAGAGACTGTAGAATTCCGAAGTGCTTCCTAAATCCTAAAGAAAATGACATTTATCTGGCAGAGATTAAGTGTGGAATATATTTCAGTGCCTTCAGGAACCATAACCGTTCGTAATCAATGCATGATATCTAAGGTAACTTTCAAATAACCTGTGTATAAGAGGAACAGAATCCTGTAATTTTCCAAAAGCTCTGGAAGGAGTGTTTTCTGTCAAATTAATCCTGGCCCCTCAAAAACTTTTACTCAAGAGAAGAACAGGGAAGAATATTTGTAAATCAAGAGGCTGCCCACATTAGACTCACTGGGCACTACTTAGGGAACAATCTCAGAAGAATGGTCGTGTTTTAGGGCCTGGCGGCCGTTTCCTGCGCCTGCTGGCCCGTCTTTATGAAACATCCACTCTACAGAGTCCCTGAAAGGCAATGAAGGGCAGGTGTGCGCCTTTTGTGGCAAACCTGTGTCCTTGGGTTGAGGGTCAAACACAGAAGGTCCTTCAGTAAATGGTCCTGAGCAGAGGCGATGGTGAATGTGGGGATGCCAGGGAAGGTATTTCTGACAAGGAGAACTCTCGGAGCTCTTTCCAGAAGGGAAAGGTGTGACATCTGATGTCTGACTGAAGTGATATGCCTTTAAGAACGGCTGAGAGGTGACCAAAATCTACTGATCCACTAAGAGGTTCCACATCTCAATAGATACGTCCCCAGGTGGACCTAAGGACTTCCTAGAACATTCTGAGAAAATGTTTGGTTTCTATAAACTTTCAGTTCCAACTTTAATAAGCTAGCTGGTGCCCAGTCCCCATGCTGTCCTTAGGACAGAGGTTCTCAAAGGGTTGTCTTTGAATTATGTGGGAGGTTTATTAATGAGAAATCCCTGGCCATATTTGAGTCCTACAGAAAGCGAAACAAAATTCTGAGACCTGTTGTCCCAATGGCTTCTTAAACGTCATACTGATAACTTCCTCTCTCATATTAATCACATCTTGTTTTACAGGAATTTCTGTAGTGATATAAAAATAAATATTACCCCAAACATTTCAGAATGTGTATTCTATGAATGTGGAAAAAGATTTCAATTTGACCAACTGAAATTCCACTGCTTCTCAAATAGGAAAATGCCCAGTTCATGAGAACCTGGGAACTAAAATCCACATTTCAAGTTATTTGAAATTTTTTAAAAATAGGGCAAACTGATTGAAAATAAAGCTACAGGGTAATCTAAACATATTTGGCATTCTCTTTCTAGTCCTTCATAGAAATCTAGAGTCTGTGAAAGAAATCTGTATGGAGCTATAGTGAGTGAATTATTCATTTATTGCCCCTTTCCCCTCTCCTCCCCATCTTACAACCTGTTTCTGCCCCACCCTTTACTGGTAGCGGAGACAGGGTCTTTTGAACACTACTCAAGTAAGGGTTTGTTTCTTGTATACATCCTTAGTAGCTGTCTTATTCTTTTTGCACACAAGGCTGGGACACACCATTCACTGAGTGTGGGCCCATCAATTAATTTTGATGTAACTGTCAGCGATAAGCTATGCCAATGGTCTTTCATTTTCACAAAGAAAGAGATTTTTCAGAGGTATCTAAGATGGCCTAAAAATCATGTTTCTCTCATATGCCTTTATCTTCCTCATTTCCTTGGGCCAAGTAACCTTTTTCCTCTGTCTGTCTGTCAGTCTGTCTAATCTCTCTCTTTCTCATCTATCCACCTAGACTGATCCCTTAGCTCGTGGCAACTTTGACCTGATGTGACTCAGGTCTCCAGGATCTTCCCAGGGGAAGCTACTCAATGCCACTCCCTCCCCATCCCCACCCTCGAGCTATCCCTGATTCAATTCCTGGTTTTGTTTCCTGTATAGCTGTTAAAACTACCTGGGTTTATCTTTTTTCTTTCTCTGCTTGTTCTTAATTGTTTTTAAAACCACCTCCTTTGTTAAAATTATTGGTAAAGTGAGCAGGTCTGACATCCTATGTGAATTCCCAGCATCTACAATTGTATTTGGTGAATAGTCGGTGCTCCATAAATACGCAGCTTTGCTCTAAAGGAACCGAAGGAATATAAAGCTTCTCTAATAGACTCATTCCCTTTTGGTTAGGATTCTATCGCCTCCCAACCTCCAGTGACCTGCTTCCTGATATACATCTAATAAAGAAGGACCCCGTTAGAGGTGACAGTCTTCAAGGGAAAGGTAATAAGAATCCAGCCCTTGAAAATCACCTCTGTTCAGACTTACAGAGCTCATGCAGGCTTATGTAAATGTATGCAAATCACATGCAAATGGCCTCCTAGTCCCTGTGACTCCATCTAGTACCTGGAAGAGACCCTTGGGATAACCCTGCTGGAGACAGGAGCCTGCACTGTCAGGAAGACGGACAAAATGATCCCAGTTTTAATTTCCCAGGCAGTTTGTGTGCATCCCCAGGCCTTACAAATTCACAGATTTTGATCAAGGACATTAAACCGAACAATGAGGCTTACAACAAAAGGGGAACAGCTGATAAAGCCCACCGCCCCCGGCCTCCCAGGGCCCCCCATAAAACAAGGCAGTGGAGCAGACACCAGGCACGCAGGGCCTCTCTCCACAGCAGACACAGGAGCTGTTCAGAGACCCCTCTGTGGCCGGGCCGAAGGGGGTGCATCTAAGTCAGCGCTCCCATCTCAAATTCACCTTCTCAAAGGTCATCTGCCAGCTTTCTGTAAGAACGCCGGCCAACATCCCTGGTGTTAACTACGGCTCTGTTAAGTGTTAAAAGGCAAGTCTGAATGTGCACACACACACACATCTGCACAGGCCTTCTCTAGGGCTTTACTGGATTAGATATTGAGAAAGTACACTTAAATACACCACAGGAGTTTCCAAAAGGGCACACCAATGTTTTTTAAAGACATATATTGAGGATACTAGGGGCCTGGTCTGTTAAAATGGGCCATGAGGCAGTGCCCCAAATGAAAAGTTAGTGGCCCAGTGTGTTTTGGTTCACTTAGTATTTTTTTTTGTCACGTATATTTATTGTCAACATTTAGATTTCATAAAAAATACAGGATTACTGGTTCTCTTGAAACATTAGTGGAAACGGCAACTTTAGATTGCTGGAGGTGACCAGAGACAACCCCATTAAACTTCCAGTTAGTTGCACTCACCGCTGCTCCCTATTGTGTACCTGGCTTGGAGGCTCAATGTCAATAATCTTTTATTGTTATCCTATGCTGTTTTTCCTTCCAGAGGAGAAATGTTTTGTTTTCCCCAGTATATAAATGAAAGATAGTCTAGAAAGACTGTGCGTTTCTCAGACCTTCTCTGTTTCCTCATTTATTTTACCTGCCAGTCTCCACAGGCATCTAAATATTTGATCCTTAAACTAGTATGTCTGTCAGAAAATTTAACAAACAAGATGGTTACTTATTATTGAGATTGTTATGTAATTAAATTTTTAGGGCACTCTGTACCCTGACACTGTGTTGAGTCCTTTATCTCCTATAATAGTCACAAAATCCTATGTAGTAAGTCTTATTGTGCCTGCAATTCCCACTTGAGAATACCGGTGTGTGGAGAGTTTAAGCAACCTGCCTGTTGTTCAGTAGCCAGTGAAAGGCAGAGCTGATAGAAAAATCCACCTCTATACAGTCTTGGATCTCTTTGTCCAGTTTTATCTTTCCTAAGATCTCTAAGAAAATAAAAGAGCTCCATTCAACACCCATGCTTCTCCAGTCTCTAGGACATCCTCGAGAATCCGGTTCTCAATGTGTTTTGAAGAGCAAACATCTGATCTCCAATGAGCAGGGTAAACCCCAACTCCTCTCTGAGTGTTGGAATCCTCAGGGAAAATCAGCAATGTAGAAGTAGCTCAATTTTCTCTTTGTGGAGCTTTCTGATGGGTAGTTTCCAAATCCTTGTATGCCATTCTACAGTCCTCTCTTATACCCAAGTTAAAATGTCCTGGCAATAGAATCCACCTCCTCCATGATAGTATTAACTGTGGTCCTCCACAGCACAGCCTCTTAGCCATGTGTCTCATTGCATTTAGGGTCCAATCTTCTTAATCGCTGGAAACTTTGCAGCTACTCAAACTTTTTTTGGCTACATGATTGAAGGAATGCATGACTGTGATGTTGGCATTGGTAGTTATATTTCACCATTTGAAAAATGACCTCAAAATGCGATGACTCTAATAACGTATAATTTTGCTGAAGTGTAAGTTCGATGGTTTGTGAGAATAAATTAGGGTAGTTAATGAATCTCACTGATCACTGAATTTTCTTCTTTCACTGTGACTTCATTGGCCCTGACTTTTCTCCCCCCGCCCCCCAGTTTTATTGAGGTATAATTGACAACTAAAATTTGTACGTATTTAAGGTGTACAACTTGTTGATTTGATATATGTGTACTTCGCAAATGTGTGTGTCTGCTGATAATATCCCCTCTTACCATAATCACTCTAGTTAAGGATCTAAGAGGATCTCTGTATATTTTCAGTTAAATAGTATTGCAGTTTATCAGAAAAAGTCTTCGTAGTGATGATACTTACGAGCTAAAAATTGGAGAAGCTTTGAGAACTGCTTTCTTCAAATACAAAGCTCTCTGAGAACCCCAATTATCTTCATGTAACTAAGATTTGCATTTGATTTTTAAAGTTAGTTCTCCTGTGACTGTCCGTCTGCCCCTTAGGTACCGCACTCAGTCCATGTGTCAGGCTGAGCCTCTGAGTTGCCCCTTTCAGGCATATGGATGAGAGACCCACGTGACTCATTCCTGGAAACTAAGAATGTGTGGCTACCTGGAATAGGATTCGAGGTGNCTCTGAGTTGCCCCTTTCAGGCATATGGATGAGAGACCCACGTGACTCATTCCTGGAAACTAAGAATGTGTGGCTACCTGGAATAGGATGCGAGGTGTTTATGCCAACATCTGGCAAAAAGTTGAGGCCCATGTTTAATAACCTTGTTGTTATTGTGGCCANACTAAGAATGTGTGGCTACCTGGAATAGGATTCGAGGTGTTTATGCCAACATCTGGCAAAAAGTTGAGGCCCATGTTTAATAACCTTGGTCTTATTGTGGCCGGTTGCTATTTGAGGGCAGTTCTGTAAGGTGATTGGGAAACTAATGCACTCATGCACACATAGCTATGACCAAAAGATCTTGCTACTCCACAACTAAAGAAAATGACTTCACTAATCACTTCATCTTGTCTAGCCTCAGTTTGTGCATCTTTAAAATCGGGACAACTATTTCCCCTTTATAGGGTTTCATGTGGGCCCAGGGTATTTAATATGCTTCACATAACGCCACACAGTTAGCATTCCAGAAATGTTTGCTATTAATGAATGTGCTTTGAGTTGTGTGCAAAATCCCAGTGGTCCAGTTTTCAGCCCCTGGGTATGACATTGATCAATAACTCTTTCTTTAAAATAAATATGCATACATATGGCTTAAGGAATAATATTTAGATTCCCTGCTTCATTTTCTCTCATAAACAGTACTCACGAGCACCTATGCATATGCATGAAACATGCACACACACGCATGCTTACTACTTCATCATTTTAAAAACGTGCCCAACAGTCCAGGTGATGTCATCATGTATTAACTCAGGCAGGTTGCAGGGCTCTCATTTTTACAAGTACAAAGGCTTCGTGACCCATAAATCGGAGGTGGCTCCCTTTCGGCACTGGGCACTCAAAATCTGCTGTGGAATTTTTCTATTCCATTTAAGGATAGGTCTTAGGTTGTTGGAGCTGGGAAAATGGGTCAGCAGAATAAATAATTCTTCTGATCTTTCACCTTAGAGCCCTATTATATTGAGATTATATCTCTGTTTAATGGTGCCCCTTTTAAAAATAAGTACAAACTGACTTAGCCAAATTGGCAGCCGCTGGCACAAGGAAGAAGAAAAACAAGAATAAAACTACCACGTGTTAATAACTGTAACAGAAAACAACTTAAATCAATCAGCATGGCAAGTCGGGATAAAAAATAAATCCATTTATGGAATATTATGTAACCACTAAAAAGGATGAATTTGGTCTGTATCCGTCAGCACAGAAAGAACTCCACGTGGATTTATGAAAGCAAATTAAAACCGATCTGTACACCGTGACACCATTTCTTTGAAAAGCATGTGCACAATGCTGTCGGCAGAGGGGGGAGACAGGAGCCACACTGGCAGTGATGTTATTCAAAATATATTTTAGCCCTTTCTTTAACGTTTCTTTATTTCTTTTTTTCAAATGACTCTGCATTCCCAGGTTTTATGTGTAATTAAAACGTTAAAAATGGAAAATTCAATACTTTCCCTTTATGACAGTAATAAAATTATTCTTAAAAACCTATAAAACAAAGAAAAAATATCTTCCAGTCTCACGATTCAATTCAACTGTTAGCATTTTGGCGTAATTCCCATCATAATTTAGTTCAAATCAGTCTATACATATAATTTTTTATTTGAAAAATTTTCATTCATTATGGGGCTCTCTGAGTCTTCACTCTGCTCATTTTAATGGGTATAATATTCCACTAAGCATATAGACTTTAATACCACATTACTTTCTTTATAATACTTGGTACAATTAAGTATGTGATCAGCATATCAGCAGCTTTTCTTCCTATATATCTTAAGAGAGATTTACCCTGAGCAGGATTAAAGAATGAAAAACGTTTGGACATTTTTAATGGCTCTCCGTATACATGTGAGTTCTTGGTGCGGGGAGTGTTGGGACATCTTGGTTAGGAAGGGCTGAAATGCATTGTCCTGAGGGGTGAATGCATGTCCTCAGCTGACCCAAAATGACACTGGGCAGCCCAGAGAGTAAGAACTAGGTGTTCACACATTCTGCTCTCACTCTGGGACTTGCCATGAGGGACCCTCCAGCCCCTCCAAAAGCCTAATGACTCCAAGCTAAGGCTCAGAGATGGGCCGCATTCAGCAGCCTCACCCAGGAGTGAGCAGTGACCAACGAGGAGGGGATGGTTAAACGAAAGCAAAAGCAAAACCTCCATCCTTCCTCAACTGACCATCATAACAACAAATTAATTTACCCAACTAGCTCCCAGATCCAGATGGGAGCTACCCTGGAGGGCTGGGAGAGGAGCGTGCGCACTTGGCCTGGACACCACCCCCGCCCCGCCACCGGGGAGAATGACCTTGTTGGTTCGGGGGGTTCCCTGTAGCAGGTCGGCAGGAAGGACACCGTCGCATGCGAAGGCAAGCAGGGCTTGTGGAAACAGATTCCCTGGTTAGATCGCTTAATAGATTCAGAGGTAGGGGTGATTTCTTGTAAAAGGCCAGTGTGTACTCACCATTTGTATAAGGGTTGACGGTCTTTTTATTTGTCATTACACGAGCTGTGGCATTATTTACCTATGTACACAGAGAATTCAAATGAGCACATATTCCGGGGCCAACCTGCCGTTCCATTAGTTGCATGCATTATGACTGTGATTACTTATTAAAAAAAAAAAAACAACAAAAACAACTAAAATGCATTTTAATTTATAAAAGGCAGTAGGTGCATAACAAAATCATACATTTTTATAATTACATTTACTTCATAACCATTTTAACTTACAAATCATTTCAATAAAGCAATGTCATATCATTTAAAAGTTTAATAAGGAGACAGTAAAAGCAAATTAAAAGGAACTGCATAATTGAAGATTTAAAAGCATGCGTGTACTCCATGGTAACACAGAAACAATATTTTTTTCAACAGAAAATAAAGTTCATATGAAGGGACATGCAGTGGAGTAAAAGAAGGGAGAGACAAGGTACAAGGGAACATAAATGTCAAAGAAAAGGGACAAACAGGTTTCGCCGTGTGCAACACTGAGGAGGAACCATCGGGGGAAAGCAACAACTAGCATTCAACACTTGGAACAAGAGCCTTTGACATCGCAAGAATTAACAAAATCATTCAAGCTTTGAAGTCACAGCTAACGAAAGGATAAAAGAGAGGGTGCATTGTTTAACACAATATGGAGTTAACGATCTGAGTAAGATGTGCACTGGTCATGTCTCAATCCAGTCAGTGCCTCCCAGGCTAGCTTAGAACGTACACTCAGTTACAGGCGTACCAATATCCAAAAAAATAGAGCATCAAAACTTAATACGACAAGTCAAAAGAAGTCACGTGGTAGAGAGATATGTATATAGATATATCAGCACTAAATACGTGTAACGGCAGATGGACTTCACCACTTACCATTCACCACCATCGCCAGCATGGGTTTGTGTACAGTTACCATGGTTACTGAGAGTTTGGTGAGGGGCCTAAGCGTTATCGTCCAGGGGGGAAAATAAAAGGCAAAATATGCAACATCTTACTCCAAAGACTAAAGCATTCGTAACTGGTATTTTTTTTTTCTTTTTTTTTTTTTTAAAGTTTTAACAAATATGACCCTGTGGCCGCGTTGAGGGAGATCCAGTGGTAGAAGGAGGAGATTGTGAGTACCGGAATTTTAGCATTAATTTTTACGGACGGAGAGGGGCCAGATAGTGAACAGGAAATCCTGTTTGCTAATTCACTTTGTTGTCAAGAGAATGCAAAAGTTCGGACTGGCTTCTTAAAAAAAAATGAGAGGTTTAAGGGCAAAACCTCTCATTTTTAAAAAATAGAACAATTGTTCTTTCGACTGTTACTTCTTTCACCACAATTTGGCTTAATTTGCACACCACTGTGGATCCCTCGTCAACCCTGCAGTGGAAAGAAAAAGAAAAGAAAGAAAAGAAAAAAAAAAAGAAACTGCTCTGTATTTTTGTTTTGTTTTGCCAACACTCTCTCCACTGTTTGGAACCTACTGCACCCATTGACTCTAAAACATGGAAAATCAAATAATAAAAGCAAATAAAAACAAAAAAACTTTCAGATTAACCTTTTTTTTTTTTTTTTTTTGGTCTCACGTTTGCCATCCACCTTTCAGCAGTAATAAGAGTAACATAATGAAAATAAAATGAAAAAAAAAAAGTAAGGCCAGTTTTCCTTTTTATATATAAATATATATATATAAACAATGAGAAGGGAACAGGGTCACATACAAGACACAATGATGCATCTGAAACAACGAATGAGCGTGAAGCAGACATTTATCAAAAAGATGTAAAGGAAAATATTTTGGACATGCACCTCGATTTTACGGCCCTCTACCACGGTGCCGTGTAATTTCTCCCTCGCCCTGTCCGCATCGGCACTATTTTCGAAAGTTACGAAACCAAATCCCTGCATGCAGGAGGGAGAAGGGAAAACAACATGCAGATTATTATTTCAGTCAACGACCACTGCGTAACGTTCTCTCGCTTTAATTTCTATGTCTTGTCCTGGCTTCCGTTCTGTAACATGCAAATTAGAGAAATTATAAGAGTACTGAGATGTGCAATCAGTAAGCAACAAATGTGAACGAGATATTTTTATTTTTTTCTGTCACCAGTTAGCTGTAACCCCTGGAGAATTCAAAGAATGATACCCAAGATACCTTTCTAAATGTCACTACAGAAGAAAATAAATCGAATGGAAAGAAAACGAGATCAAAATAAATCTACGGTGTCTTCACAGAGAATAAAATGAAATAACGAGGAAAGAAAAAAAAAAAAGGGAACCACTTTCTTGACATGCAAATTAAGAAGAAAAGAAAATAAAACGTGTGCACGGAATTCAACAATGAATGCCAAAATCTTCTAACATTGCCTACAGAGAGTCATGCCGTGTGGTTTTAAGGACATCTCTTCCTCATGCAGTTTTAGGGTTATTCAGATTGATCAATTCTACAGCCTTTACTTCTCAAAAATAAAAATTAGAAGCCTAAAAAAAAAAAGGAAAGACCTTTTTTTATAATAAATCTTAAACTCTCGGAGCTAATCAACAAAATAATCACGTGAAATGAATAAACGTAAACATCAATTGATCAGTAATGCAAACAGTTCAAGTAACTTTTTTGTCGTAATACCTCCCCCCTCCCCTCCGATCAAAAATAACATACATGCTTCTAAATTTGTCAACTTCCCAGCCTAGGTTATTAACCAAAAAGGGGAATGAGTAAACTTAGGAGAAAGTTCTAACACTTTACCCTGGGATTCATTTGTCATATCAATAGGTAGACAGTAAAGCTGCTTGGTTAATTCTGGGCACTTCTGCTTTTACTGAGAGATGACACATAGACCCTCCACTTGGCCGCTGGCAAACTTCGTGTTAATATCTTAGCCTCAAAAAAACAGCCCCACTAAACGTCACACTGTCAAAAGCCATCGTTTTTTTCCTTCACTGACACTGTCCCTAAGAAGAGTACAGAAACTATGACACATTATTTTTAAAACCCCTAAAAATAAGTGTACGTTTTGTTCAGAAATATACACCAACCTTTTGAAACACTCCCATTGTCAATTTGCCCAGCTCCTTCTGCTTCTCACAGAGTAAACTGGGTGGAAAAATGCCACATGTAGGGACAGCTGAGGTTGGCATAAAGGTAGATGCTGGCTTTAAGCTTGGGTGGTGGGGCAGGAAGATATTCCAGTTTACCAATAAAGTAGACAGTAATTATAAGTTGGTTATAAGTCATAACCAACTAAGTGTTAACTCCCACTCGCCCACTAGGTCGCTAAAGTGCTCTCCAAAGGTCAGGGTATTTGAGGACTGTGCCCAGTGTTAATATGGGCTCATCTACAGAGGACACCAGCTGTGCATGCATTCGAGCTAGAGTAGGTGACTCTCTGACAGGATTCTATAGTGAAAAAAATAAATTATTTAATTTGGGAGGTTGGGCTGAATTGCCTTTCATTATATTTCCCATGTGGAGGATCTGTGATTAGGATGGGTCTGAAATATTTGTTTAATATAAGATTACATGCTCCATAACAGAAGGGCTCTGTTTAGGCGGTATGTCCATGTGCGGTGCTCAAACATACTGGCTAACTGAATAGTTTTGAAATAACAGCTGGTTGAAGAGCAAACAACATAATTTGGGAGGTTTGCCCTCTTAGATGGCTCTGACTCTTGGCCAGTGGGTCCCAAACTTAGTTGCGCATCAGAATGAACTGGGAGCATGTTAAACACTTAGACGTGGAGGCCTGCCACATATCTACCTGCTCAGAAGCCCCAAGGGGAGCCCAGAAATCTGTTCAAAAAAGGTTCTGTGTGGTCCAGCCATTGGATTCCCACAGCCTCTCACATCACTAAGCGCCATCACAAGAAGACTTCAGTTCTTTATATGAAGTAGAATATTGTATCGCCAGTTTCTACAGAGCAACCTATGGACTGGAGTGAGTTTTTGAGGTGAATATCTATCTGACATGGTTATTTGGATCTTAGATTTAGGAATACGGCCAATATCACATAGCGATGTTCACCTGTAAGCCAAATTCCCTAGCATCCATAGCCAGGCCATGTATTTAATAAGTAATAAGGGAAGCCAGGACTCCGGCTTTATCAGGGGCAATGCTCTCACTAGGCAAGGAAGGAAAATGCCATAGTCCGAGTCTTATATATAGATGGAGGGTTTGGTGGTATCGTCGGTGCCCATGGGCATTGGCAGTCGTCATCGCCACAGTGCTGGGATGAACACAGCCAGGTGAAACTGAACATTCAACCCACCTGTCCAACATCACCCCAAAGAACCTTATTGTCGTGAATCTAGTCTGAACCCAAGGCAAACCATCCTGGCCTAAAATCTGCATCATGTATGTCAGGGAGGGGGAAAGGTACAGAAGGAAATATATTCTCAATCCCAAGGAAAGTGTATAACCTCCAGAGGAAGATTCCATTCTCAAGTCCTTGTTTTGTTCTGAACTAAGGATAATACATTGATTGCTTTTATTTTTATTCTTACTCTCCTTATTTTCTGCTAAACTACCCCCTCCCCCGAGCTGCTCAGTACCTCTTTCAAGCTGTTGAAATGATGAGTTGAAACTGTGTGAAGTTGGATTCAAACAGCTTGCTCCAAAAACAGTCCCCCAAATACCCAAGGGATTCTCCGACCTGTTCCATTGGACCATCATATGTCCCACCCAGACAAGAAGTAAAGAGGTCTCCTGGGTTGTGTGACTGCCCGACTTCTCATCTGGGGAAGCAGACTACAACCAGAGAGACCACCCCTGGCCGTTCTTGGGGACCCTCTCCATCAAGCACAGGTGCCAGGCAATGCTGAAAGCTGGCTCTGAGCTTGTTTCCTTTGACCTGGCTCTTGGTCAGAAGCCTATCTCATGTCCCTTCTTCCCAGGAGCCTCCCCAGCTTCTAACAACACTGGCCTGCCCGCTTGGCGTCTCGGCAGCCTCTCTCTCATCGCAGAACACAGCAGGCTGTCTGCAGAGGCCTGCCTTCACGGTCTGTCTGTCCTGCTATCAGGAATCTGTGAGGATGGCCAGGAAGCAGTCCCGTCTCGCTCACGGCTGACGCACCCGTCTGGTACCTGGACTGTAGCCCACACTTATAGATGTCGATGGAATCAAAGGCCAGACTGTATATTTCCCAGGCATATTAAAAAGTAGCTATATTTGGCCATATGCCCAAATTAAACATTTCAGAGCTAAACAAAATGTTTTTAAATCTCCTAAAAGGAAAACTGAATTGTAGGACCTCTCACCCCTAAATGCTATCTAATTCCTATTTTCAAGTCGGGCATATCTTTCTAAAATGTGCCATCGATACACGAATGCATTATTTATGTTACACATTGCTGAAAATATAGATTCTGCTCGTGTAGGCATAGGTGGATAGGTGTACATGCACACACACTCACACACACAGAACACACAGCCATGCTCACGTAGCACTGAGTGGCTTGCCTTGGGGACTGTCCACAGAGAGAACAGCCAGAAGTCACCTGAAAGGCCCACCCACTTGCTGGCTGCATCTCCAGCATTAAATGATGTGAGGTTATCATAGTGGTTCAGGTTTTTCAGCCATTAAAATGGAAATGTTCCTTTAAATAGGTCCTTTCCTGTAAAGGGTAATGTCAAGTAGGAAAAATATCCCTGTGTGAACGGCTGCCCCCGTTTAGCAGGTCCCAAATGGACTGTCTCCACGACACTCCTGGCCAGTCGGACCGAAACAGTCAGTCCCAACACCTGCCAGACCAGACCTGTTCCCTGAGAGGGAGCAGGCCAACAGAGAGAGTGAGGCTATTTTTGATGTTTCCAAATTAACAAAAAAGAAAAAAAAAGCAGCTTCACAAAGTCAGTCTCTGGATGAGGCAAACTTAAGTGGTCTTATTCCGAAAGCCCCAGAGGCAGGCTAATCATGGGGATGACGGAAGGAGTCTTAAAAATAGCACCGCCATTGTACTTTCAAAATAGCAAATGATATTCTTCTAATGTCCCAAAACAGCTCTCGAAAGGAATTAAATAGCTTTCTCCAACTGGCAAAAGTTACAAAACAAAATATAAATTAAATCGAACATTTTTAAAAAAACCTTTAAAATAGCGAAGCCACCGAGTCAGGTTAGAAGAACATTGGCCAACGTTTTGGGTCCTCTCCTATAACTCTGCCCAGAGCCCTGCAGGCCTGGGTAGAAGGGATTAGCCTGGGTACAATTTCTCTTTGTGCACTTGGCTTTGCAGGGGAAGAAATGACTTTCATACGAGGAGAAGAAAGAGAGTGAGTTTCTCTGTCCCCCAGCCTAGAGGTCAGGCTGCTGACATATTACAAGAATGACTGTAAAAGATAGGAAATTACAGTGACAAGGTCCCTGAACCAGCAGAACTAGCAGGCCCCGATAGGGACCATAACGGACGGGTTTATTGTACTCATCTGGAATATCACAACATCATTTGGGCCGGAAGAAAACACTGGAAGTTTCTTCCCTCAATGCAATCAGCATTATCCTACTCAGTTAATACTAAATCTACTTAGGAGCGAGGGGTACAGGCTGTCCAAGAAATAATAAATTCAAATGTTTGCTTCTTGGGGAAGACGTGGTTACTATACCCAAGAGGCTGGCACTTGCCACCTTAGATAAAACCAGTTGTTCCTAGTGGCCCCCCTGGATGCTGACTTGTCCCAAAGCGCCCGTGTAAGGAGCGTAATGGGGCTAAACAGTATCCTCTGTGTCTGGTAAGCACTTTCTCTTAACATCCTCTTTCAGAGTCCGAGGAGGCAGGAAAGGAGCTTAGCCCCCCTGACAGCCTGGAGGTGTGCTCTGGAAACGGGCACCGTCACCGAGAGCTCCCCACGTGGCTGCTGAGGCCGCTGCGAGGCCTTTTTGGCACCTTCCCCTGTTATCACTCAGCATCCGCTGCTATGCCGAGCGCACCGTTTCCTAAGGGGGACCCTGTCGGGGTTCCCGAGTTTCCTGCGGGTGCGGGTGGGGGGAGGACACTTTAGCAGCCGCAGAGCACCAGTGGGCAGAGGGGCGCTGGGCGTGCAGAGGAAGTGTTGGCATTTGCCTAGAACAGGAACACACAATGCTCAGAGCTTTCATCATAGGCCTGGAAGGTTGGTTAAAACGCAGCTGGCTGGGCCCCAATTTCAGAGTTTCTGATTCACTAGATCTGGTTGGGACCCTGAGAATTTCATTTCTAATCAGCTCCTAGGTGATGCTGACGCTGCCAGTCTGGGGACCACACTTAGGTGACCACTGATACAGACGACGCCTTGGAAGGGTCTCGCCTTTATTGTTTTCTCCCAGCACAGTTCCATTTTGAAAGTGCCAGATCCTCTCTATGTAACCACCGATTTTTACTAATGCTGTGTGCTCTAGGAAAATCAACCTAAAATTTGGTTTCCTCAGAAAAAACAGAATGAAAGCAGGGGCAAATCGCAAAATGTGAATCGGTAGACATATTAATGAATAAAACTGTCTTCAAAAGGTTGGCGTATAGGAAAGTTTGTCCCCTACAACCCAGGAAAAGAACTGCACTTTGTTAATACAGAATAATCACATATTTACCTGCGCATGAGACTATCAACTCACTTTTTAATATAAAGAACATAATTATCACTGAAAAACAAAAATGTAGCGACAGCATTATTTTTTTAAGCATGGGTAATTTTCCCTTGGAAACTCGATATATAAATAGATAGATGGATAGATATGAAGCAGCAATTCTAAATTAGCCCCTTATATATTTTAAATTGAACCCAAGGTATTTCCCACCATTTGGGAAACTTGGAGTGGTCTCTAAGGGAATCCCCCTGAAGAGTATTTTCACAATGTGCTGATTAAAACAGTGCAGTTGTTTCCCATCATTCATCACAAGCGTTTTAAAATAAGCTAAACAATTCTAAAGTGAATTAAATTGCTTACCTTTGAGCCTCGCTCATTAAAAATAATTTCAACATCTAAGATTTTACCAAATTGCTGCAAAGAAACAGAAATATTTTATAAGCAAGGAGAGAAATGGAGTAAATCATATTATGCACATTGGGAATGGTACCCTGAGCCAGAATCCTTTTTTCTTTTAATATACAAGGGTATACATTTTATTTCATTCTATCATTAAGCAATACACTTGAACTAAGAGAAAAAAAACAACTACACATGTGATTTCCATATTATGCCATACCCCGCTGAGTGAGATTTCGTAGTAGGGGCCTGGGACACGACAGGTAGGAGGGGAATTTTATTTTCCTCCCTTTATGTGTGCAGCATTGCTTTCCCAGGCACTGAGCAGCAAAGATTAGCAATGGCTAAGGCAGCCACTGACCCTCCTCGGCTGCTCCACTAATCACTGCTGGAAAACCCTTGATGGAGAGGCATTTGGGTAGTAAAATGTCCAAATAGAATATGAGGTTGAGGATTTGGGCCCCCAGCCCCGATAAAAGCTAGAAACAGCCAGGCCAAGTGAGAGAAGTAAAGTACAAAGAGAGAAAAGCGAGCTCCACTATCCAAGCGCCCATCAGAACCGAAACATAGGCAGAGTTGTGACTAGTCCTCAGGCTGAGATGTGCTTCTCTCCAGATGATTCTCCGTGTTGTCAAACAAACAGGTTTCAGACAATTAGAACGAATGCCTTCCATAAAAAGGGAAGGTGACTCCACATAGTCCAGTCTAGGAACACAGTTTCAGATGACAAATAAATGGGACAGTCATGGTTAATACAGATGCCTAGTTAGATTTAAATTTCAATTTTTTTTAAAAAATATATCTTTATTGATTTCAGAGAGAGGAAAGGAGAGGGGGAGAGAGCGATAGAAACCTCAATGATGAGAGAGTCATTGATCAGCTGCAGCCCGCAACCCGGGCATGTGCCCTGACCGGGAATCGAACCCCGATCGCCTGGATCCCAGGTCGACGCTCAACCGCTGAGCCACGCCCCAGCCGGGCTAAATTTCAAATTTTTAAGAGTAATTATACTCTGAAAATGACAATACTGGGGACACACTTATACTTTATAAAATACTTGTTATCTAAAATTCAAATTCAACTATCGTATCTGCTAAATCTGGTATCCTCCTGAGAAAGGATATCAAGCAATCCCTGATTCACACTTTAAAAAAGAAGAGGTGCCCACCCTGAAACCAGAAGCATCTGCTAACCCAAATCCATCTCCTTGACCCTGGAATCCTGTCGGTTTTCTTCAGTCACATGAAGTCGAGTGGGCGATTTTGAGGGCAGGTGGGAGAGGGTGGCATAAACGTAGGCGGCATGGCCCAGGGCAAAATAAGATGGCAATTTTACATGCAGAATGAGAGCAAATGTTCACGGTAGTGATTAAAAAGTAAACAGGGTAACATGAAGTAATGCTTCCATCTTCTTTCTCCTTAATTTTGAGCTTTCCGATTGTTCCATTGGCTTCTGCAGCCTGGATTTTCATTGCATCCTTTATTACTCTAGGAGACTGTATTCTGTCTCTCTCCCCTGCGTGGAGAGCGTGGAGTAGCCTCTATGTCACAGACGAC